GGTTTCCTGCAAAGTAAGTGGGAAGTCGTCAGAAGAACTCGCGTCCGTGTGAGACTTCGAGTTAAAGAAGCAGACCCGAGGGGTGAAGCGCCTTGCCCAGACGCGTGCAGCTTGGCTCTGGCTCCTGAGTGTGAGGCAGGAGAAAGGTATTGAGAGGGGCGGGACTTGGTCAGCAGGAAGTGCAGGCAGAGAGGGGAGGGCCTGGTGGTGTGGGCGAGTAGGCCGCAGCAGGCCAGGCCGAAGGGCAGGGCAGACCCTGGGAGCTGCGTGCCGACCAGGGTCTTGTCACAGCGTCGGGTCAGTTTCTCAGGTGTGGTACTCGGGCCTCCTGTCACCAAGGGTTGTAGATTCAGGTCCTCGGTCTTGTCCAAGCTGTGACGCCACCAAAATGTGCTTGTTAACCCGTAACCGGAAGCCCCTCAGCACGTGACTGCGTTTGGAGACAGGGCCTCTAAGGACGCAGAGTGGACAGCGAGGCCATGACGGTGGGCCGTCGTGCGATCTGAAAGGTGTGTGTGAGAGGAGGGAGCTGAGACAGACGCCAGGCGTGAGCACGCTCAGGACACAGCGAGGGGGCGGCCGTCCGCAGGCCAAGGAGGCGCTGAGCGAGGGATCGCCCGGGCTCGTGCTACTCACCAGCTCTCCCCCTGGGGCACGCTACGCTGGTGCAAACAGCCAGAGAAGCAGGGCCTGCTGGGGTGTCTGGAGTCAGCGGGCCAGGGGGCAGGGGAAGAGGGAGCCACCAAGAAAAGGAGCTCCGGAAGTCTGCCTGAGACCCCCGAGGTCTTGGTCAGGTACAGCAGGGCACGTGCAGCCCACACCCACCTGGCCTGGTGACCAGGGCTAGGGAACTGCACTGGGTGGAGACTAAAAGCTTGCCGGAGACTCGGGAGCTCTGAGCATGTGATAGGAACACATCGTAGTCCATCGAGAACCACTTAGAACACACAAAGTTATGGTCCTACTGCAATTCCATCCTTTTTTTAAAAAATAAAAAAATTTATTCATTTGAAAGGCAGAGTTTGAAAGAAGGAGACATCAGATTTTCTTCCCATCCACTGGTTCACGCCCCAGATGGCCTCAGTGCCAGGGCTGTGCCAGGCAGCGCAGCCGCGTGCACTCGCAGCCTCCGGGCACGAGAACTCTGGAGTGCTGCGAGTTACATATGTGTGCTAGACAGGTGTCCCACGAGCTGGTGTCCGTGGGCAGCCCGCAGTTGTGCACCTAGGATTTCCATGTTTCACTCTGTATTAGGTTTGCTTTTCCCAGTGGTATAGATTCTGAACGCGTGTGTATGCTGGGTTGAGCAGGTGAGGACAGGAAGCAGGGTCGCTGCTGTAGAAGAGGCCCAAGGAGAGAGCTACACGGGGGCGAGACTGCACTAGACACCAGTGTCATTCAGGGTGCCCCGATGCGTGTGTGGGGCAGAGCGTCAGGTTCCCACGAGCGCTGCACTCTGACAGGCCCAGGAAAAGGAGCGAGGCCTGAGTGTGATTCATGCACGCAGAGGCGCGTTGGGACTAGAAGTCATGAATGCAGGCTACCACTGCTGAGCAAAATCCTTAAGATACTTCCAGAATCTCCAACTAACTCACCACAACGTACTGAGTGGTTCTGAGTGGGAAACAGTGCGTTTATGGCAGTGTAGACGGGAGGATGCCACTTTGGCCCAGTGAGCCCAGGTGTCCCGAGGGTCACTCACCTGGCTTCCAGCACCTCTCACCTGGAGAAACCCTGAGACAAAGCCAAACTGGCGAATTACAAAAGCATTGGCCCTTGCTCTTCCAAAAACGCAAGCCACAGGAACAGCGCCTGCAGAACCGACCGTCGCCGCCCGCCCCGCACTGGATCCTGGCCTGTGAGGACTTTACTGGGCAGGAGAAATTTGGATTCGATGATAGTACTGAGGCGTAGGAGTGGACGGGGGTTGTATCTCCAACCTTCTGTCGAGTGGGGAAGAGTGCTAAGCAAGTGGGGCAGCCGGACGTGCCCGACCGGGGCCGGCACTGCGGTGGTCAAAGAATCCTCCCGGGCGGTGGGGGCGAGCAGGCAGAGCCAGGCCTGCCGAGCACGTGGGAGCCTGGTAAAGGGGTCTGCCCGCTCAGTGACACCCGAGAGGAGGGAGAGCGCAGCTTCGTGCCTGCCGTGCCCAGGCCCCCTCTGCGGCCCGCGAGACCCCGCCCCGCAGTGCCCCCGCCCCGCAGTGCCCCCCCACCCTGAGCCTGCTTCGTGACACTGTGTTGCTTTCCTTTCCCAGCTGAAAATGTAGCCAAACAATGGCAGGTGAGTCGAGAGGACCAGGACAGGGTCGCAGTGCTGTCCCAGAACAGGACGGAGAACGCGCAGAAGGCTGGCCACTTCGACAGAGAGATCGTGCCAGTCCTGGTGTCTTCCAGGAAAGGTGGGCGGGTTTGCAAGCTGCCTCGCGGTCAGGTTCCTCAGGTTGCTTACCTTGGCCTGGCTGTGTACACAGGGCGTGACCTCTCAGCCCATGCTGTGTACACAGGGCGTGACCTCTCAGCCCACGCTGTGTGCACAGGGAGTGACCTCTCAGCCCACGCTGTGTACACAGGGGCTGTTGCAGAAACCAGTGATGGGAGGCAGCAGTGCCCTGCTCCCCGCACGGGCTGACCCCTCCTTCCTGCAGCTGTGTGCCCCTCCAGCCACACTTCCCAAGGGCGGGTCCTCGGGGGCACTTGACCGTTGCCTGCAGCTGCTTTCCTCAGAGAGGGCTGTGGGTTTAGAAGACATCTGTCTCTTGAGGAAAGTGCTCATCAACAAACTTGACGGTTAGAGACAGAGCTCCCCCAGATGACCGCAGCAGGCTGGCTTGGGCCAGTGACGCCAGGAGCTGCGGGCTCATCTCGGTCTCCCGTGCGACAGCAGGAACCCACGTGATTGTGAGCCATCCTCTGCCGCCACCCAGTGTGCCCATCGGGAGGCTGGCGTGAGCGGAGCCAGGCCGGCAACCCAGTACTCCGGTCTCGGTGGCTAAGCAGATCCGCACCCCGAGAGTCCTTTCCCTCCTCTTGTCCCCAGGCTGTCCCTGCCCGCATCCTAGCAAAGCACCGTTTCCCGGGCACCACCCTGCGCTGATGCTGGGGGCCTGGGTCTCCTCTTTTCAGGGCCTACCGAAGTGAAAGTGGACGAGTTCCCTCGCCACGGCAGTAACTTGGAGGCCGTGTCCAAGCTGAAGCCGTACTTCCTGACCGACGGAACAGGCACAGTCACGCCAGCGAACGCTTCAGGTCAGGCTTCCGGGAACACGGGGCTGTCCCGTCATCTTCTAGCTTTCATTTGAAAGGCAGAGTGATGGGAAGAGAGGGACATTCTGCTGGCTCGGTCCCCAGATGGCTGCCATCATGGGGGCTCCGTCAGGCCAAAGCTGGACCCCAGGACTTCCAGTGTCCCCCGAGCTGGTGTCCGTGTGGGATGTGGGTGTCACAGCTGCAGTGACACTGCTAGGACACAGCAGCCACTGCACCTTCTTAAATTCCTTTAGCTGTCACACAAACGTAAAATGTTTCCACTTCTCCAGTGCCCAAAAGTGCCCCTCTCTGTGTGAGGCCTGCCTTTTGCAACTCCCCGCCCTTCTACCTGTGCAAGGTCATTACCCACTGTCCCGCGGTCAGCTGTGGAGATGGGTGCAATGGCGGAAGTCTTTGTGACAGAAACCTGGTCACTGCACCTTGCAGGGATGAACGACGGCGCGGCCGCGGTGGTGGTGATGAAGAAGTCGGAAGCTGCCAGTCGCGGGCTTGTCCCTCTAGCGCAGATAGTGTCCTGGGCACAAGCAGGCGTGGAGCCTTCCATCATGGGGACAGGGCCCATCCCAGCGATCAAGCAAGCCGTGAGTAGTCTTCCCCACCTCCTCCTCGCCTGCTGTGCAGTGAGCCCTCTGGGAGGCCGCCGGTGTGGGCACTCCCGTGGTCAGCACTGCTCGGTCTCCACTGGTCTTCCCCAAGCCTCACGCACTCACCCGTGCAGCTGTGCCAGCAGCCGGCAGACCTGAGGGCAGGGAGGACCATCTAGGGGTGACGCGTCTCCTGACCCAGAGCACAGCTCTGCTCCCCAACTCCCGGCCTGGAATTTCCACGTGATGCTCTACAAGACACCCTTGACTTTGCGTCACTGGGCTCCTCTCTAAGCACCACAGCCGCGGTGTCTGCGTCCGGATAAGCGTGCCGCCTCTCTGCAGCCCTCGCCCGTTCCTGCCCTGTCGCTCACTGCCCTTCTCTTCAGGTCGCCAAAGCTGGCTGGTCGCTGCAGGATGTCGACATATTCGAAATCAACGAAGCCTTTGCAGCCCTGTCAGTGGCAGTTGCTAAAGAACTCGGACTGAACCCAGAGAAGGTAAAGATCAGGTGCTAAGAACCTGGACTGAAGCCAGGCTTCTGTGGGCCGCAGTCCCTAGGCCGTGCCCCTGAGCTCACAGCACAGCCTCTGCCCGTGTGGCTGCCAGGCTGTCCACGCACTGTGCGAGGGTTATCTCCCCGCGCATGAGGAAATGCTGAAGTTCCTGCTGGGACTCAGTTCACTGTTGCTTCCCAAGGGAGAAGAAATCCTTCTAACAAGGTTAAAACTCAATGAAGGGACAAGGGAAGTCGGGAATGGATGTAACAAAAATTTATTCCTTAGCAGCCAGGACAGTTGGAAAGGGCACCCTGCCAGAGGACAGAGAGGGAACAGACGTGTTGGGGTGTGCAGCCTAACAGAGCTTTCCTTCCCTCAGATCAACATCCAAGGAGGAGCCATAGCCCTGGGGCACCCTCTCGGAGCGTCCGGCTGCCGCATTCTGGTGACCCTGGTGCACGCGCTGGAGAGGACCGGAGGAGCGCGCGGCGTCGCGGCCCTTTGTGTCGGGGGTGGGATGGGAATAGCGATGTGTGTTCAGAGGGGGTGAGCAGTGAGCCGTGCTCACACTCGCCCGGGCCTGGTGTCCACTAACCAACTACTAAGGACCAAAGTGAGGATGGAAACCATTCCCTACTTCACAAGAATCCGAGCTGACAACTCACTGTACTTTAATTGTAACTTCTGAGGTACAAGACAATTGCATTTAACATTGTTATAAATAAAGGAGAAATCCCATCAGTCATCAAGGGCTCCAGAATGAACAGCATCTTCGTAGCCTCCATGCTTGTCATCTTTAGTTTCTGGATGTAACTTGATGAGGTCATCAATGCGGAGAATGGTGATTGCAGCTTCTGTGGCAAACTTCAGACTCTTTACTTTCACTATGGTTGGCTCAAACACCCCTGCCTGCTTGTTGTCTCGAGGCTTGCCATTGATCAGATCAAGGCCAATCCTGTGGTTAAAAGGGGGAAAAAACAGCCCAAGTTCTGGAGCAGCCTACATGTAAGATCAGTGTCTCAGCCGTCTCGGTTTGTCTAAGTGCACCTTATGATGTCATGGTAACAGCACCCGACACATCTCTCATCCTTGTTAGGTAATGCACAAGCCCAACAAGGCTGCCTGAGAACCAATGTAGAACCATAGGTCAGGTGACAACACCCAGGGTAGGAGTCTTCCCAAGGCCCTGGAATGGCTAAAGAGGTGTCAGCCATAACAAACTTAGGAACCAAACTACCACACAAAATCTAGTCAGGGAGAAAGGGCACTCCCGTTCTTACCATTTTAGATTTTTCCGTTCTGGGTTCACCTGCGCCTCATTGTGAAAAGCTCTCAACTTTGCGACCAGATCCGTGGAGTCCTGGGCAGCGTTCACGGCCAGCGTGTTAGGGATCACGAGGAGCGACCGTGCGAACTCGGCAATAGCCAGCTGCTCCCGCGAGCCCTGAGAGACAGACAGTTCCTCCTCACACGGGGACAGGGAGAACCCGCAGCAGCGGCTCAGCTCTCTGCGAGGCGTGCTATTTAAATTTATGAAAATGCCAGAGCTGCCCACCCCACTGTGGGAAGCAAGCAGCTCCTCTTACCATGCTGGTGGCGTAGTTCTCAAGGTATATGGACAGCGCTGCCTCGACAGCGCCCCCACCTGGAACCACAGACTTTGACTCCAGAACTCTCTTCACCACACAGAGAGCATCATGCAGGGAGCGCTCCATCTCGTCACACATGAAGTCGTTGGCACCGCGCAGGATGATGGACGCAGACGTACGCGCCTTAGTGCTGCGAGAGAGCACGTGAGACTCTTAACAGCACTTCCACAAGACCCGCACAGCAACTCCACACGCACCACCGATTAAATCCTGGGTGCACGCGGCCATGTCTAGACCACGGAGCAGAGATGACTCAGTTACGTCACCTCCATTTAGTTACAATGGCCCAGTGTTATTTTATCCCACGCGTATAACTGCTCATAGCATGGAGAGACTACAGCAGCAAATAGATGGGAAGGAAATTCTACAACAAAAGCTGCACTGCTCCCTAGCTTGGAAAGTAGCTTACTTTTTGATTAAGATCAGCTCGTCATCACAGATTCTCTCCTGTACCACCTCCTCCGCTTGTCCCAACATCACAGCTTCAAAAGTCTCTTCACCTTCCAAGTTGGCCAGGGTTGACAGAATACTTGCTATTAAGAGAGTCATAAAGGTGTAAATAATGTTCATGATGACCTCGTCGTAAATTCAGAACATTAACTTATGATAAAAGTGACACCGTGAGGTCAAGGTGTCACTGAGATGAACAGAGTAAGCTAATACATCCCCAGGGTTGCAGACTTCCCCAGTTCGTGAACAGGCAGGCACTCCTGTCTGCAGCACAACCATTACAAGGATGGTGTCCCCGGAGCTGCTCAGCACAGTGTCCCGACACAAACAGGCCATCGTGGCAGGCACCGGGACTCCACCTGACGGCTGGCAGAAGACTTACCTCCAGAAGCTTTAGCAATCCGCTTAAGATCCCTCTTTAAAACTCTCCTAACTGCCATTGCACCAGCGTCCACAAAATACTTGAGACACATGTCATCAATGCCGCCGGTGGTGAGGATGACATTGGCACCAGTCGCCAAGATCTTCTGAATTCTCTCCTTGGTGATATCTGATTCTCTACAAAGAAAAGGACTTTAGTGCCCCAAATTACCTTCTCTTTCTTAATACAACTCTAACTTTCGCTAAGTATTCATTCACAAAATCACTCTAGATTAAATTGAAACCCTTCTTTCCCATCTACATCTAGAACTTAAATTAGTCCAGTTTTTGGAAGCTCAAGGAATGGAAAGGACGACTTGCTTCCCACAATCCCTAGCTGAGTTCCTGATTTAGAGGTGCGGTTAGGAAGAGGCAGTGGGGCAGGTGTCGTGGAGCGGGCAGTCAAGCTGCTGCCTGCGAGCCCAGCCTCCGCATTGGAGATTGTTCTGGGTGCTCCACTTCCAGACCCAGCTCCCTGCGGATGCACATGGGAAGGCAGAGGATGATGGTCCATGCACTCGGGTCCCTGTCACCATGCAGGAGTCTAGATGGAGTTCCTGGCTCCTGGCTTCAGCCTGGCATAGCTCTGGCTCTTGCAGGTGTTTAAGAGGTGGACAAGCAGATGGAAGCCATCATTCTGCCTTTGAAATACCCCTCCCCCAAATACGAAGGAGCCTGCCCTCAGGATCTCTTGGAGGGAGGAATTACTGTTCATTCCCCCAGCAAGTATTAACTATTGTTGTATGCGAAGATGGACACAGGCATACACCCAGCTAAGGAGGTCTAGAAAGGGATCCTGGGTAGACCTGCGGATCAGACTAGAAAACGAAGAGCTTTATGGGTTAGGTGGCTGAGAAGCTGAGCATTTTCAAGGAAACCCCCTATCAGTCAAATCCAGCATGAAGTGTCTGCAAAGAGGTCAGGTGTGGTGCAGAAGCTACAAGACTTGGGGCAGTAGAGGCGTGCTGCCCACTACATAACTGCACTCTGGTCAACAGTGGGCCCGTACCAGAGAAAACAGCTGGGACCACCCCACTGCCGTGAGCCCACAGCAGCTGTGAACGCAGCACAGCACGTCGGTCCAGTGGCTGAGGGACGCTGCTCCCCACCAGCTATTCAAGCACGCTTGCCAGGGATAACAGGGTAATGAAGGACCTAGTACTGGGTGGGCGCCTGCTACTGCTGGCTGCAGACTTCTGAGTCATGCTAGCAGCTCGTGCACCGTGTGCCGACTACTGTTTCCCCTCGTGCTCAACTCTGCACTGTTCTGTTGATCAGAGCCCAAATAAATACGATGTAGTCCAGGTGTGTAAAGTTAAGGCTACACCACCTAGGAGCTGGTGCTGTGGCCCAACGGATTAACTACTTTAATCTAACACTATGCAAAACGGTGTGACTTTGTTAGAAATGTTAAAGTCCTTCAAGATATTCACACTCAGAAACTCCAGTTCAACAACACATGCTACTGCCTAAAAAATGGTTCTTAAACCAGCTCCATGACCTCAGACACAGCACTCCTTTTAGTTTACTGTCACCTAGTCCAATAATTTATAAACATCCTTGTCAAAGACCAAAAATATTCTCTCAACATACCTCTGCCTAATTTGGTCCAATTTTTCAGGGTCTGTAATGACCACTTGTACACCGAGCTTCATTTTTGTTTTCTGCAGGCTGAAGTCTAGGCAAGCAATTTTTGCATTAACTATTCTCTTGGGCATGCCTGTAATTGAACAGAATATTCAGTTCCATTACAGTCACCATAACAATGCTGCTTCATCAACCACACATTCACCCCAGACCCCAAGAGTCACGAAGGCATTAATTCACATTTCATCTCAACAGTTCAATGGCACCAAACAAGCAGCATTTCTTCCATGTGCACTCATCCTAACAAGCTACATGTGTGTAAGCCACAAAACACGCAACGCGCACAACCCAGATGGGCCAGTTTTAAGGGCCAGGGTTGTGGCGCAGGGAGGGAAGCTGCTGCCTGCAAAGCCAGCATTCCCTATCAGAGCGCCAGCTCCCTGCTAGCGCGCCTGGGAAGGCAGCACAAGATGGTCCCTGGTTCTTAGGCCCCTACCACCCACGTGAGAGACCCGGATGGAGTTCCTGGCTCCTGTGGCCTCTGCTCTGGCAAGTAAGCCAGCAGACGTGAGATCTCCATCGCTCCTGCCACTCAGATAAGTCCACCCCATTCTCTGAGCAGACCCCACCCCTTACCCTGAGATCCCACCACACAGTTGAGAGCGTAGCCACTGACGAGCATGCTCTCGGTCTGGCTTCTCCCGTGGGCTTTCAGAATATTGATGGAGTTGACTGGGTAGCGAGGCTGGCCTCGTACGTCTGTATATTTAACAGCAAGCACGGCATCTACCACCATATTAGAGAAGAAATCTCCGTTTCTAAGCCAACAGTTAAGGGTAACCACAAAATTTGGAATGACCACAGGGTACACATGAAAATCAAAAGTAATGTGAGGAGACCCCCATTTGGTAATCTTATTTATCAAACAAGCATTATTTCTGCCACCAAAATCCTGCAATATTACTTATCACTATCTGCAATTCAATCACTTTTATACGCGCTTTATGTATCTTTTCACTGTAAAAATTCAGGGAAGGCAACAGGCAACTCCCAGCATCGCTCATCTCTGCTGCAACCTCATTTTGCACTGATATGCACTATTCCACAATGACGGGCACAGACCGGCTGACCCGTATTGGGCAACCACAAGGATACATCCCGATGATTTTGGAAGACATTGACGTCTTCGCAGCGTTAATCAGGCAATCTCTCCCGAGTTCATCCGTGTTGATAATCAGGTTTTCACTGATATAGCGCACCGCTTCCCTGTTTAGTGTGGGGAGAAACACTGATCAATTCACCACTCAAGGGTTTGGTTTTATCACATTTCGGATAGCATCCAACTGTCACAGGCCATCTTCTGTCCAGCCATTTCATATAGAAGGAGGGTACCAAATCCTCTCCCTCTTCAGATCATGGCAGTTTTCATCTATCCCATAAGCATAGCCACTGAAATCTACTAATTGGAGAAAACGTGGTAGTCAAATGGGAAAGGCAAGATACTGGCTTCACCGTGTACTTCATGCATAAATGCTAAAGTGCTAGAATGCAGCTTTTTCAAACTGAAATTTAGTCATAAAGAAAAAAAAATTAGCCACTAGTCAACACATTAACAGACACCTGTTTATCAGTTCATCAAATACGTTTTTCCAGGGCCTGTGTGATGCTAGCATTGCATACGGGCGCAGGAGACCCGGTGCTCATGTGGACCCGCCTCCCTGCTGGCGTGCCTGGGAAAAGCAGAAGACGGTGCAAGTATCTGGGGCCCTGCACCAACACAGGAGACCTGGAAGAAAACCCAGGCTCCTGGCTTTGGCCTGGCACAGCGCTGGTCACTGCAGCTATCCGGGGAGTGAACCAGCGGATGGAGGCTGTCTCTCCCCCCTCCCTAACTCTACCGTCCAAATCAGGATTTTAAAAAACGTCACCCTCTCTGAGCGTACGCAATCTTACTTGCAGGCAAGCCGGTAGCCACTGATGACTGAGGTGGGGTGGATTTTCTGCTTGACCAGCTCGTCCGCGTTCTTCAGCAGTTCTGCTGCGATGATGACCTGCGGAGAAAACACACAGGGCCCTGCCGACGCCGCGTCGGATGTCTGCCACCACGGATGCAGAAGCACTGCCATGGTCAGGGATCAGCCAGACGGCGGCGGGAATGCTGGGGAACCCAACAGCTGGTTCCTAGAAGCTGGACAAGAACTGCGAACGCCTGGACCAGAGAGGAGGCTGCCCAGGGTTCTGGCTGAGCCAGAGTCCCGCAGGGCACAGCCAGGACGCACCCATCATCCTCAGAGATCAAGTGCTCAGCAGGAACTAAAAACCTGTCATTTACATTTCAGGGATTCATGCTACCTTGGGCCATCTGGCCTTTTGTTCTTAACCATTCTTATGAGAAACCAAGAATCGTTTAAAAAAAAATAAAAGTCGTATTAAGCAGGTTGCTGGGACAAAGCCCACCTCGCTGCTCGGGGGAAGTGGGCTGCATCCCGTCGGGGCTGACGTCCCACCTAGTGACACATCTCCCCCGCACAGCACCCTGACCTGGTCAGAGTTAACACCGTCCGCACCAAGACCTGTCTACCTCCCGTGCGCGCCACAGCTCGGCAATCACACGTCAGCGCGTTCCCATCGCCCCATCGTGAAAGCCCGAGCCGAGGACGGCCGCTACCGGCCGCCGACCTACCACGGAGGTGGTCCCGTCTCCGACTTCCTTATCCTGCAGGTCGGCCAGCTCACAAAGCACCTTGGCTGCGGGATGCTCCACCTCCAGCAGCTTCAGGATGGTGGCCCCGTCGTTAGTGATGGTCACGTCCTTGGAAAGCCACGGGGGACACCGTCAACCACCGCAGCCCTGCCGCCTGCCGCCACCCGCACCCTCCCGAGAGGGTGACCAGAGCGGCGTCACACACTGAGGACCCCCCCCCTCCGGCCCCCCGCCCCGACCGGCAGGTGCACTTACACCGATGTCGTCCACCAGCATCTTGTCCAAGCCCACCGGACCAAGCGAGCTTTTCACAATGTTAGCAATCGAAGCCGCAGCCATCACTGTGCCCAACGGGAAACCAAGTGCGGTCAGGAGACCCACCCCTCCGCCGAACCAAAGCAGCGACAGGCAGGTGCCCGCGGCGCTCCCTGGCCGGCAGGGGTGAGCACGCCCGCCCCGCGCGATTCCACGCCGGCGCTCCCCGCGGAAGGCACGCCTGCTCTTCGGCCCACGAGCCGAGGGGTCGCCGCGCGGACGCCTGGCCGGCCGAGACCCCGAGCCCCGCGCGGCCCCCGCCCATCCGCGGCGCGCGCAGGTGGCCGCCGCCTCAGGCCCGAACAAAAGGGCGGCCGGGCACGTGTCCGGCGCCGAGACCGCGTCCGGCGCCCGCCCCGGCAGCCGCCCCCGGGACGCGCCGCGCTCTCAGGCCCCTCGCCCGGCGGGCTGGAGCGACCGGGGGGGCGCAGGCGGCCGCGGCGCAGCGGAGACCGCAGCGGGGCAGCGCGGGCCGGCGCCACGCCCGGCCTTACCGTTCTGGGAGCGGATCGCCTCCCCGGTGCTGCGGTCCCCGAACACAGACAAGGGCCCCTCCATCTTCGCGGCAGGGCGCGCGTCGACTTCGCTCAGACCGCCGACGACCGGGCTGTCGGTAGTGATGTCGGGCGGCGGCGTGCAAAGGGCCCGAGCGACGCCGCGAGGGCTGCTGGGAAACACCGCCTCGCCGCTCCCCAACGCCCCCGGCCCGGCCGCGAGGCACGGCGGGAAACAAGGAAGAGGCGGAGAAAGAGGGACGGGGACGCGAGCGCGCCGGAAGTGAGGTTACATAAGGGGGCGGGCTCTGTAGCTTTGTCCAATTAAAGAGCAGGTAAGAAGGGCGCGAAAGGGGAGACCGGAAGTCAGGCTCGTGGACTGTCGGAGGAAAAGGAAGTGCTCGGCTGCACCTGCTTGCCGGGCAAGGTTGCGCAGGCGCACTTAGACATTCTAGTGCCTTCTAGAAAATGTGATCGGGAGGGCGGGGCTGTAATAGGTGGGCGAGCCCCTTCAGGGCAGGAGTTCTGAGCGAGTCTCGCCTTCGTACGGTTTCGTCCTTTTACTACGTAAATACTTGCGGAGCATGAGGCAAATCGGCCAGGTTTTCATCCGGGTCTTGAGCCTGGGTGAGAAAGGCACGGTTTTTCTGTGGGCCGGCGGAGAAAAATGTCCATTTCGGGGAACAGCCTTTAGAGAAGGAAACGATCTTGTGCCCATTCTCAGTTTCCAGTCGCATGTGCCCAGCCCACAGCGACCGGGGTCCACGTTGCGACCTGAGAGGCTCAGAGCAGGTAGCGTGACAGCGTCCTCGCCCCGCCCCCGGGGCCTTGCCTGTGGGCTCTAGGGCCCGCATGCGTCCCGACGTAGGCTGTGATTGGCCAATCGGGGATAACAGACAGCCCCCTTGGCCACTCAGCGGCCAGGGGCTTGTTAGTTCCGGGTCCGCAGCGTCTCTCGCATGGCCGAGTCAATGACCTAGGCGACCGTACATCCCTAGCTGAGCTAGCATGGCTGCGGCCGGAGAGTCGCTGAGGTCCCGGTGAGGAGAAGGAGGCCTGCGTTGTCTGCAGCGTTGCCCGAGATCCGCTCCGCGATGGCCCTTCGGTCGCGGCTCTGGGAGGTGGTGTCGGCTAGCAGGAGCCCCGGTAATTCGCGTCGCCCCGTCTCTCCCTCCGTCCCCACCGCAGGGCAGCGCGCGGCGGTGGCGGTGGCGGTGGCCGAAGACCCAGGCAGGCCCGGGGGTGAGCTGTCCAGGACCCCGGGGGCGGGCGCTCCGGGCGGCTGCCGCTTCTGAGCCGCGTGGTCGCTTGCGTTTCTCAGGGTGCGGGCTGGCGGCCCTCTCGACGGCGTCCGCACCCGCGGCGAAGCCTGAAGCGGACCCACAGGAGAACGAAGCCGTGGCCCCGGAGTTCACCAACCGCAACCCCCGCAACCTGGAGCTCCTGGCTGTGGCCCGGAAGGAGCGGGGCTGGGGCACAGTGTGGCCCTCGCGCGAGTTCTGGCACAGGTAGCCCGCGGGCTGTGATGGCCCGGGCATTCGGCGGCGGGCGTGGGAGCGAGCGAGGAGTCGGCGGGGTCCGGGGAGCGGACGGGGGCCCGCCGGGGCCTCTCTGGGGCGGCCCGGATCGGCCTCGGCCCCGGGGCTCGTGGGCCGGGCCACCGGTTGCAAAGGGGCAGGTAGGCGGGAGTGGGAACCGGGGGATTAAAGTTCGAGCCTGAATATTTGCAGTTTAAGTGACGTCATTTTGGCTGCAGTAGGGAGAGTAGATTTTTTAGTGTGTGGCACTGGATACTTTGGGTGTTCGGCAGGTTGATCATGTTTATGTATTTGATAAGCGCACCAGAGAGACGGAGCTCGAACCAGCGTTGCGACACGGGATGCCGGCATCACAGGCGTAGCTTAACCGGCTGACCAGGCGGCCACAGCCCACACCGAGATCTTCCATTCACTGTGTTCCCCTGAAATGCCCGGGGTAGGCCAGGCCAGAGCCAGGAGCCTGCAGCTGAGTGGTAGGTGCCGCCCCAGAGCTGGGACTTCAGCCAAGTCTCTGTGTGGTGCAGGTGCCCCAAGCAGCATCCTCACTGCGGTGCCAGACTCCTGCCCCTGGAGAGTAAATTCTTAGGAGAAGTGTATTATTACAGACAGGAGATGCTTGGTTACTAAGGGAGTTGATTAGATAGCAAAGCAGGTAAAACTGCTGCCTGCACTGCCAGCATCCAGTGTGGGTGCCGATTCAAGTCCTGGCTGCTCCCTGCTAATGCACCTGGGAAAGCAACAGAGGACGGCCCAAGTGCTTGAGCCCTGTCACCCACATGGGAGACCCATAAGGTGCTCCTGGCTCCTGGCTTTGGCCTGTCCCAGCCCTGGCCACCATTTGGGAGACATCCCCCCCCCCCATGACTCTGCTTTTCAGATAAATAAATCTTAAAAAAAAAAAAGATAGTTGTTTAACAATTTCTGTTTGCCAGGAACTAAGCTAGTGCTTTATACATATTTTCTCACTTAATCTTTAAAAGTACATTAAGAGGCCGGCACCGCGGCTCACTAGGCTAATCCTCCACCTGCAGCACCGGCACACCGGGTTCTAGAACCGGTTGGGGTGCCGGATTCTGTCCCGGTTGCCCCTCTTCCAGGCCAGCTCTCTGCTGTGGCCCGGGAGTGCAGTGGAGGATGGCCCAGGTGCTTGGGCCCTGCACCCCATGGGAGACCAGGAGAAGCACCTGGCTCCTGGCTGTGCCGGCCGTAACAGCCATTTTGGGGGGGTGAATCAACGGAAGGAAGACCTTTCTGTCTCTCTCTCACTGTCTAACTCTGCCTGTCAAAAAAAAACAAAAAACAAAAAAAACAAACCAAAAAACTACATTAAGAAACAGATGCAGTGGTCTTCCCCAGTTTACAGGAGCAGGGAACTTGAGGCTTAGGGAGACAGACTGGTGAGTGGCAGAGCTGAGAGTCAGCCGTGTTTTTGCTGACCTCAGCCAGGACACTGAGTTACTACTGCTGTGCTGCAGCACGGAGGCTGTACTTGCTGCCTACCTGCTTGGTGGAAAACTGTAGCATGGGATTTTTTTAAGGATATATATGAAAATTACAGAGACAGAGAGCGCGTCTATCAGTGGCTCACTCCCCAAGTGGCCGCGATGGCCAGGGCTGAGCCAGGCTGGAGCCGAGCCAGGAGCCCCATCTGGGTGTCCCGTGCAAGTGGCAGGCCCCAAGCACTTGGGCCCAAGTGGAGCAGCCGGGACATGAAGTGGCACCCACGTGGATGCCAGCCCTGCAGGCGCTGTCCGCTATGCTACAGTGCAGGCGGGAGAATAAAACCCCTCTTAACGAGTATACAGAGTTACAAGAACAAATTAAAAATCCTAGCTGTGTGTTGTATTTATTTAACAAACACTGGACCTATATCACCTACTGGGCATTGTGCTGGCTGAAGGAGGTAGATACAGTAGAAGTTATCTTTGTCACCAAAAGCCCTAAGTTTCATCATAGTGGACGGGGGTGATCATGGTTACAGTTGCTGTGATACATTTCACAGAGTTGGGAGGGGGTGGAAGGGAACAGGCAATTCAATTTTGAGATAATTCGGAACTTAAGTCTGAAATTCAATCTTTTGAAACTCCCAACTTGAAATCTTCACTATGTGGATGTTTAAATGACTAGACATGTAGCCACTCTCCGCCCCCCATCCCCACCCCGTCAGCCCTATTTATAATTGCATAGAGACTTTGGGAAGTGACCTCAGAGATAATGCCTCCTAACCTCTTCAGTGAACGAATGATTTGAGACAGGGGTCAGCACACTGGCCTCTGGGCAGCAGCCGGCTTCGGCTTGCGAGTTAAAGACGGTTTTCAGAGTTGGTGTGCGGCACAGCAGGTGAGGCCTTGTGGCGTCCTCATGCCATCTCCAAGTGCGGCTTCACACCCGCCTGCCCTGCTTCTGGGCCAGCTCCGGCTGATGTGCCGGACGGCGGCGGAGCACGACCTGAGCCTGTGGGCCCCTGCCAGCCTTTCGGGAGACACGCATGGAGTTCCTGGCTCTTGGTTTCAGCCTGGCCCACCTCTGGCTGTTGCAGCCATCTGGGTAGTGAACCAACAGATGGAAGATCCCTCTCTCTGTCACTCGGCCTTTAGAATAAAGAAGGAAAGAAATCTTGTTTAAAAAATGATTTTGCACTTTTAAAACGGTTAGACGCTATTTGGTAACATGCAAATAGACTGAAATTCAGTTCTCTGTCTGCGAGGGACGTTTGCTGGAGCACAGCTGTGCTCCTCACCGTGTCTGACAGGTCGCCTGGCTGCTGCAGCACCGCAGGGCTTGAGCAGTTCCAACAGACTGTGGTCCCAAAGCCTCAAACAGCTGCCGTCTGCGGCTTTACAGGAAAGGTTGACCCCAGGTGGAGAGACCGATTTTTTTCTTTTCTTTTTCTTTTTCTTTTTTTTTGCTAGAACTACCAGCAAAACTGAGTAGAACCCAAATTTCTAAATCTAGTGCTTTTTCTATTTTGCATTAAAAATCTTAGAGTCTTCTAATTTGAATGTTTTCTCTAACTCAAGCTTAATTTAAAAGAAGATTCATTTAAAAAATCTATTTGAAAGGCAGAGAGAGACCTCTTCCATCTGCTCTTTCATTCCCCAAATGCCCGTAACAGCCAGGGCTGGGCCAGACCCAGACCAGGAGCCTGCCCAGCTCTTGGGTTTCAGTTAACTGACTTCCGGGCCGGCGCCGCGGCTCACTAGGCTAATCCTCCGCCTAGCGGCGCCGGCACACCGGGTTCTAGTCCCGGTCGGGGCGCCGGATTCCGTCCCGGTTGCCCCTCTTCCAGGCCAGCTCTCTGCTGTGGCCTGGGAGGACAGTGGACCGTGGAAGACCAGGAGAAGCACCTGGCTCCTGCCTTCGGATCAGCGCGGTGCACCGGCCGCGGCGGCCATTGGAGGGTGAACCAACGGCAAAGGAAGACCTTTCTCTCTCTCTCTCACTGTCCACTCTGCCTGTCAAAAGACAGACAAGACTGGGCCAGGCTGAAGTCAGGAGCTTCATCTGTCTCCCAGTGGGTGCAGAGGCCCAAGCACTCGGTCGTCCTCTTCTGCTTTCCCAGGCCACAGCAGAGAGCTGGATCAGAGGTGGAGCAGCCAGGACGTGAACCAGTGCCCGATGGGATGCTGGTGCCGCAGACGCTGGCCTAACTCCCTGTACCACGGCACCAGCCTCTGATGTACATCTAAGTAGGCTGACCCTGCTTAGAAAGCGCCAGAAGTCCCGTGTTTTCTTCTAGTCCTCTCAGGTTCGCACATGTAAGTCTTTGTCCCTTCTTATACTCTTATACTTACTCTGGTGATAGCTGGAAATAGATTCAGTCGGCAGCTTAGCTCTGCCTCGCCCGAGTTCTCTTACGAAGTAGATGTGTAAGTGAATAAACCTGAGCTCCAGTTTCTCCTTGAAGTTGAGGCTAAGTGGAAATAATTGTTTCTTATTGAGAATGTTGAAAAGGCAGACGCCACACACCTTTCTCAGGTAAAACCCACGTTGTCTGCTGAGGTGAGTCAGCAGACGCTGGAGCCTGAGAAATGCGGGGGCGTGCGTCCCCGCGAGGCGGGTGCGTGGGCGGCTGCGTGGGCGTGCGTCCACACCGCGAGGTTGCGTGGGCGTGCCTCCGTGGCGCCGGGCGGTTGCGGGGGCGTGCCTCCGCCTGGTGGTTGCGTGGGCATGCCTCCGCCCCGGCGGTTGTGGCTGGGGGGATCTGTTCAGGGCTCTCTCCACCCCCCGCAGGTTGCGGGTCATAAGAACCCAGCATCACGTGGAAGCGCTCGTGGAACATCCCAGCGGCCAGGTTGTGGTTTCGGCGTCCACTCGCGAGTGGGCTATTAAAAAGCACCTGTACAGGACCAGGAACGTGGTGGCTTGTGAGAGTCTCGGACGGGTGCTGGCACAGAGGTGCCTGGAAGCAGGAATTAACTTCATGGTCTACCAGCCGACCCCCTGGGAGGCAGCCTCGGACTCGGTATCTTTGTTTTCATGTTTTTACTGAAAAGATAGTAATTTTAAACAAAATTTATGTATTTGAAAGCGTTAGATCTTCCATCTGCTGGTTCACTCCCTAGACGGCTGCAAAGGCCGGGACTGGACCAGGCCAAATGCACGAGCCGGGAGCTGCATCCTGGTCCCAGGCCACCAGCAGAGAGCCAGATCGGAAGTGTAGCTGCCGGGGCTCGAACCCGCGTCCATATGGGATGCTGGCACTGCAGGCAGTGGCCGTACCCACTACGCCACAGCGCCAGTCCCCCCCTGTCTCTCGAGAAGTGAATTTATTTCCAGGGTGTTTGTGGCGCTGACTTACTGGTTTCCTGTTTTCCCTGATCTGCAAAACCAGCTGAAATGCCTGCAGAATGCCATGACGGAAGGTGGTGTGGTGCTGCAGGAACCTCGGCGGATCTATGAATGAGACCGAGCACCGCTGGTTTTGGGGTGGATCCAGAACCGCCAGCTGCTGCCGCGTCGGAGGACCCCCAGCTGGAGCCCTGCCCCTGTTGCGCAGTGGATGCCCTTGCTGAAGGTCACCCTCTCCGCATCGGAGGACCCCCAGCTGGAGCCCTGCCCCTGTTGCGCAGTGGATGCCCTTGCTGAAGGTCACCCTCTCCCTCGGCGTCTGGTTTCTACATCAGGGTCTTCATTCTTCCCTGTCCTGGAGATGAAGAAAAAGTTAGAACTGTAATTAACTTTTGTGCAACAAAAGTTGTTTGTAAGCTACGAAATAAAAGTGTGTTAACTATTTCCGGGTCATTTGGAATTCCCTCTGCCTTCCAGCTCAGCGTAGCAGGAACACGTGAAGTTTGCATAAAAACTCTTACTAGCCTGAGGTCCTGGGGCGTGATGGCGGTGGTGTGGGGGCCGTGGGGGCAGAGGTGAAGAGGCCGGCGCTGAGCTCGCTTGGCTCTGCTTCCTGGCGGCCAGAGAAGCAGAACTGAAGGACAAGGGCAGTGCCACTCAGAGCTGGGAGCGTGCGCTCCGGCTGCCATGGAGGGACAGCTTGCCGCGTGGAGGGCACTGCAGGCTGGTGGAGAGCCTGGGCGGAGGGGCAGCGGGGCGGCCTCAGCAGCTGATGCGGCAGACGACGGGGTTAACTTTCTGGCCGGCAGGTGGGAGGAGGAAGGGCCTGTAAGCATTAGGGTCTCTCTACAGCAGCGCTGCTTTCCAAAAAACAAAGGCGAGACTTGAAATTGCTCCCACCTGCTGGTGTGTTCCCCGAACGCCTGCAAGGCCCGGGTCTGATGCCAAGAGCCAGTCTCAGGTGTGGGCCGAGGAACCCAGCTGCCTGAGCCGTCCTCAGCCTCCCGGGGCCGCCGGGCAGGAGGCTGGAGCCAGGCCCTCCCAGGTGGGCGCGGCGGCCTGACTGGTGTCTTCACCAGCAGGTAACACCACCACTCTAGATGTTTTAATTATTTTCATGTATCCACTCGTTTACAAGTGAAATCTTTAAAAACAAACAGAGCCCTTCAAAATCCAAGGATTCAGTGGTCCGCTTTTGATCAGTAAATAGCTCACTGGAGACACTTAAAAGTATGTCGCTTTAATAGTTCCCACTCAAAGGTGAGGTGCTGCTTGGGACTTGGAGTGCCTGGTTCCAGTCCTGCTCCGTCTGGCCCCGCTTCCTGCTGGGGCGCCCTCTGAGAGGCAGCAGGTGCCGGCTTAGGTACTGGGGAGACCTGGGTGGAGTTCTGGGTTGCAGGCTTAGCCTGGCTCAGCCCTGGTTATGGCAGGCATCTGGGGAGTGAACCAGCCGATGGAGGACCTCGCTGCCTTTCAAGTAAAATGAGCACCTAACCCGTGTGTAGGAAGTTCTCGCAGCTAGTCAAGAGAGGATGTGAGCAAGACGCGCACTAATGAGAACGGTTCGTGGGGCGGGGACCGGGCGATGTCCGGGGCTTTGTGCGTCCAGTGCGGTGCCAGGGTCCCGCCGGCGGGGTGGGGCGGACGGGGCACGCGAGAGCTGTAGGGGAGGAGACCACCCAAGGCCGGAGGAGCGGGACCTGCGCTGCTCCTGCTCGTGGGCTCCTCCCACCCGGCCCCCTGCCACTCTGCGGGCCCTGAACCACCTGCGGGCCCAGAGAATTGGCCGGGGAGGCAGGTGATCAGGCTTCGGTCACCGGCAACCGTCGCTGATCCAGCGCCCCGCGCGGCAGGTGCGCGGGCGGGGGCGGGGCGGCCGCCGGGGGCGGGGGCGAGCCCTTTAAGGCCAGTGCAGCGGCGGAAGCGTGCGGGCGGCACGTGGCTGCGCCGGCGCCCTCGGTCCAGCTGCGCGACCATGGACGTGGGCGCCGACGAGTTCGAGCAGAACCTGCCCCTGCTCCAGGAGCTGGTCCTGGGCGCCGACTTCGTGGGTAAGCGGCCGGGTCCCGAGCCTTGTCGCCGGGGCCTGCGCCTGGGTGAGGCCGGGGCGGGGAGGCGGCGGAGGCCGGACGGAGCTCCGGACCCGGGCTGCTTCGCGGACCCTCCCGGCGAGGGACGTTAAGCAGCGCGCCCGAGGCCTCTGCGCGCACCTTGTCGGCCGGCGCTTCCGTGTGGCCCGGGTACAGCCAGGTGGTTTGCTCCGTTTTCGCTTACTGGACTCGCCTGGCGTCCTGAGCCCCGGGCGCCGGCCACCTGTGGACTGTCGACTCTCTCGTCTGCCCGGCAGGTCTGGACATCGAGTTCACCGGCCTTCGGTCCAGCCTGTCTGAACCCCATCAGATAAGGTACAGCAGCCGCTGCTTTGGGGGCCAGTCGGAGGCGGCTCACCTGCTCGGTCGGCTCCTTGCTGGCATTTGCGCGGTGCTGGGGCGGGGGCCTGGCCGTAGTCCACTGGGTGCTGGCGGTGCCCCCCCGCCCCCCCCCCCCGGCCTGTGGAGTGAGACCCCCGTTCGTTCGCAGCCTCTTTGATCTGCCGTCCGAGTGGTACCTGAAGACCCGGCGCAGTGTGCAGCAGTTCACAATCTGTCAGATTGGTGAGTTCCGCCCTCGGTGTCTGTGTTTCCTCCTGGTGGACACCAGCTCCGTGTGTCCTCCCGGAGCTGGGTGTCGCTCTAGTGTGCTTGCTCTGCTTTTGGCCTTGCCTGTGGGGTCAGCGTTGACCTCGGAGTGAGCAAAGCGTTAGCGGTGTTTTCTGTCTGAATAAGCTCACCCCGAGGGACAGTCTGGTACCTGTTCCACGTTTGAAATTTAAGAAACGAGCCGTTTGTTAAAGCCTTACGCGTACAAGGTCTTAACTGTGTTTTGTCTGCGTCTTGGTTTCCTTCCTGCTCCCCCCACGTGGGGTTTGGTGAGAACTTTCTAGATCAGCACACCCAGGTCTGACCATTGCAAGGTGTTCCAGGTGATGGGCGTGCCCTCTGACCTGCTCTCCTGTCGGTCCGTGCTTTGACGGTACAGTGTGATGTGCAGTACAGTGTGATGTGTGCGGCCAGAGACCGTGGCGAGCTGCACCAACACGGAATGTGCCCGTCGGTGCCCTCGCCATCACTGGGTATCTGATAATGCCTTAAGCTTGGCCTGCTTGGTAGAGGAAAAAATAATTATTCTGATTTTGTGGGTTTTTTCTCCCCCTAATTTTTAATTTGAGAGGCAGAGTTACAGACACAGAGGGGAGAGATGGAGAGAAAGGTCTTCCAGCCGCTGGTTCACTCCCCAAATGGCTGCAACAGCCAGAGCTGAGCTGATCTGAAGCCAGGAGTCAGGAGCTTCTTCTGGGTCTCCCACACGGGTGCAGGGGCCCAAACACTTGGGCCATCTTCTGCTTTCGCAGGCCACAGCAGAGAGCTGGATTGGAAGTGGAGCAGCCAAGACTCCAACCAGTGCCCATATGGGATGCCGTTATGCCACAGTGCTGGCGCCAATTTCTTTTTTTTTTTTCTTTTCTAAAGATTTATTTATTTATTTGAAAGCCACAGTTCACACAGAGGAGAGGCAGAGTGAGAGAAATGTCTTCCATCTGATGGTTCACTCCCCGACTGGCCACAGTGGCCGGAGCTGTGCTGATCCAGAGCCAGGAGCCTCTTTGGGTCTCCCATGTGCGTGCAGGGGCCCGAGGACTTGGGCCATCTTCTGTTATCCCAGGCCACAGCAGAGAGCTGGATCAGAAGTGGAGCAGCTGGGTCTCGAACCAGCGCCCATATGGGATGCCGGCGCTTCAGGCCAGGGCGTTAACCCACTGCACCACAGCGCCAGCCCCGCCAATTTCATGTTTAATGCAAGAGTCAACAAAGACTTTCTGTAAAAGACTAAATAGTAAATGTTAAGTTTTGCAGGCAATGTGGTTTCTGTTACAACTACTTAATCCTGAAAACCACTGATAGTTAATATATTAACAAGAGCTTGATTCTTTCAGTAAAATTATAAAAGAACAAGCCATGGATTTTTTCTGAAAATTTTTTAAAGATTATTTGAAAGAGTTAGAAGGGGAGGTAGAGAGGTCTTTCATCCCCTGGTTCACTCCCAGTTGGCCACATTGGCTGGAGCTGAGCCGATCCGAAGCCAGGAGCTTCTTCCAGATCTCCCGCCTGGGTGCAGGGGCCCATAGACTTGGGACATCTGCTGTTTCCCAGGCCATAGCATGAGAGCTGGATTGGAAGTGGAGCAGCTGGGACGCAAACTGGCAGCCATATGGGATGCCAGCAGTGCAGGCAGCGGCTTTACCCACTGCGCCACAGCGCCGGCCCCTGGATCAGGTTTTATTGATCCTGCTTTTACTATAAATGGTGCTGAGTGGCTGTGTGTGTGTGTGTGTGTGTGTGTTCTCTATCCTTGTTCTTTGCTGCTCTTCTATTGTAGTTCTTTTCCTAAATAAGACCACTTTGAGAAGTACGGAAAACAGTAGCGTGTCTTTTTTTCTTTTGCAAGATTGTTCATCCATCTGCTGGTTCACTCTCCAGATGCCCACAGCAGCCTGGGCTGGGCCAGGCTGAAGCCAGGAGCCAGGAGCTCCATCCGGGTCTCCCGCGGGAAGCAGGGACCCAACCACAAGGGCCGTCGCCCGCTGCCTCTAGGGCGCACACTCGCAGGAGGCGGAAATTGGGAGCAGAGCTGACTTGAGCCCGGTGCCAGGGTTTCGGGTGCGGCTGCCCAAGCCGTGTCTTCTCTGCTGTGCCAACACAGCCATCCTGGCTGCGGCTCTGTGTCGTTTCTGTTCTTTGAAATGTCTTCTTTGTATCTTTAAGCCATGTAGACACTGGAAAGCAGTAAACTTCATAAATCTTCTAGTTCATGGATTTGGTGTTTTCCCTGGTTATTTTTTAAAGGGTATTATTTTTTAAAAGATTTACTTGGAAGGGGGAGATCTTCCATCTGCTGGTTCATTCCCCAAATGGCCACCACAGCCAGGGCTGGGCCTGGCCAAAGCCAGGTGCCTGAACTCTATCTGGGTCTCCCATGTGGGTGCAGGGGCCCCAGGACTTGGGCCATCTTCTGCTGCCCCTCTAGGCCGTAGCAGAGAGCCGGATGGGAAGTGAAGCAGCCGGGACTCGAACTGGTGCCCATATGGGATGCCGGCACTGCAGGCAGTGGCTTTACCCGCTGTGCCACAATGCCTGCCCCAGGTATTTGTTTATTAAATGTTTGTTGCTCCATTTTTCAAATAGATGAAAATAAAGAAGTTTTTCCATCTCCTCTGTCACTCAAGTGCCCACAAAAGCCAGCCATCCGTGCCTCAAACAGGTAGCAGGCCGCAAGTACGTGGGCCCTGACCTGCCACTCCCCCAGGGTGTCCGTTAGGAAGCTGATGGGAGGCAGAGTGTGTGGGACTCAAACCCAGGCACTTGGCTCTGGGATGTGGGTGTCCCAAGCAATGGCTTAACCTGCTGGGCCCCGGCAGCAGCCCCTGGGTAGTTTTAGAACTGGAAATGCTGGGGCCGGCGCTGTGGCGTAGCGGGTAAGGCCCTGGCCTGCAGTGCAGCATCCCATATGGACGCCGGTTCCAGTCCCGGCTGCTCCACTTCCGATTCGGCTCTCTGCTGTGGCCTAGGAAAGCAGTAGAAGATGGCCCAAGTGCTTGGGCCCCTGCTCCCATGTGGGAGACCTGGAAGAAGCTCCTGGCTTCAGATCGGCACAGCTCTTGCCATTGCAGCCAATTGGGGAGTGGATCATCAGATGGAAGATCTCTCTCTCTCTCTCTGCCTCTCCTCTCTCTGTGTAACTCTTTCAAATTTTAAAAACTGAAAATGGTATTGCAGCGTTCACTTCCGTGTTTGAAGAACCATCCAGTAACATTTGCCCGATTTGGGGGCTATTTCCAATTTGCTAGTTCTGCCTTGGGACTGTCTGCCTTCTGTTTCTCCTTAGAGACGCTCTGCTGTGCCACCGCCCACGTGGCGTCTGGCCGCGGAGCCCGGTGGTGAGGCTGGGTCTCGCCAGCTCCTGGCAGGTAGCTCTCGTTTGGTATTCATGGCGTCTGTCGTTCTTCTAGGGCTGTCCGTGTTCTCCACGATCGAAGGGGAGTCGAACAAGTACGTACGAAGAGCGAGCCTGGGCGGCACACGTGGCTCCCGCCCTGCCTGTCCACGGCCGTCCCTTCGGCCCTGGACACCCCCGTGCCCTCCTGCTTCTGGCCTCTGTAGATTCCAGCTCCACCCCTGCCCTGAGCCTCCGCGCTGTGCGTTGTAGTAGGGGCGGTGTTCACACTGCCCAGTGGGTCCCAGGCACGCAAGGTCAAGTGAGGGCGGCCGCCGGCCAGTCCAGGACAGCCCACCTGCACACAGTTGGAGGCGCTGAATGTCCGCTCTGTGCAGCAGCCCGGCTGAGCTTGCGGGGCGGACCCCAGGGCAAGATCCCAGCCTTTTGTCCTTGGCCCCTGGGCCAGGCCGAGGTCCCTGAAGCGCAGCCGACGTCGCGTCTGAACGGAAAGCGCCCGCTGTGCGAGGCCGGCTGCGAGTGGCCGGGACCTTGTCTCCTAACGGGTCTCCTCTCCTGCAGGTACGTAGCCCATTCGTGCAACTTCTTTCTCTTTCCTACAACATTTGGGATTTTGGACTCGGAATTCTCTTTCCAGGCCTCCAGTGTTCAGTTTTTGAATCAGTATGGCTTCAACTATAACAAGGTGGGGCCTTGTGGGGGGAGCTCCTGGCCTCGCCGCCTCTTCCCTGCCCCCATCTGCCTGAGCCGGGAGAGCCAGATGCTGCCGCCACGGGCCGTGGCCTCTGACTTGTCTCCTTGTTCCGTCCCCGCCTCCAGTTTCTCAAAAAGGGAATCCCGTACATGAATGAAGAACAGGAGAAGAAAATCAAGCAGAACATCCTGGCTGGAGACTGGCGGGTGCGCAGGTAGAGCCCTCCCGCTCGCGCCCTGGGGCTTCTTGGCGGAGGGGGGTGCGCGGCCTGCAGGCGGGCCCTGACCTGGTTCCGCCCGCGCCCGCTGTTCCCCGGCCGTGGCCATGGCCCTGGCCGTGGCCCTGGTGCGTCTCCTGCGGCCGGTGTTGAAAGTGAGAAATGCGCCACTTGCTTTGGTACTGCGAGCGGGAGGGGAAGATGGCTGTGTTGCACTTGCCGGGAGACGCGCCCCCAAGGGCTTTTCAAGGGTAACTCACGGGCAGCCCTTGGCCGTGCCTGCCGTGCTGGGCACTGGTGTTGGACAGGAGCTGGGCGTGGTTATGTCGCCCCTGTGTGCCCAGCACTGCTGTGTCTGAGGCTTGGCTGTGCCCCCTACGGGTGGACCCCTGCCTGTTTCCCTCGGGCCCCTCGTTGGTCCTTGTTCTGGAACCTAAGACTGCTTGATCAAGGGCTGGGGTGGGTTGACCTGACTGGGGCCGGGGTCCCCTTGGTGTTGGCAAAGGCCTGTGGGTTCTGGGATAGTCACATAGGCTGCTTGGGCTTTTGGCCCCTTGCCCCTGTCGGCAAGAGGAGTACGTTAGACGCTCGTCACAGGTCTGGGTCGTCGCGTTGTGTTGCACAGGCGTGGTTCACTTTTGTATTCTCAGTGCTGGTTTTTGGACAAATTGTATGGGAAGAACAACTAGGATTTTCAGCATGTGATCTCCCAGGGCTGGGAGAAGGGGCTCTGTATTCCAGATCGCACGTTTCTATGTGAGGACACCTCAAAATTTGGGGGGGAAATGTCTTGTTTCGGTGGAAACATCTTTCAGTTCATGTGTCATTTTCTTGTGTTTCCATAAGCGTTTTGAAGACCTCTCATGTGCATGAATTTCAGATGTCTTCATGTCGAAATAAACACGCATGTTCCTTCCAGAGGGCCCTGCTCGGGCAGTGTTGTGGTGTTTCTAACACTGGCGAGGGACTTGCCTGGTCCTTGTGTTGCCCTGGTTCACCCCAGGATGTGTTTGGTCACCTCTGAAGGGTGGCTGGCGGAGACGGTCCCGAGAGCACCAGTGCTTGGAACTGGCTGCGTCCAGTGCCTTGGCCCCCCTTGCGGCGCCCAGGGAGGCAGACGGAGGCCGAGCGGCTGTGGCCTGCTGGTGCGTGAAGCCCCACAGGAGCCGTGGCCTTCACGAGGCCGCCACGTGCAGACACACCCCTCTCGGGTTAGCCAGGCAGGCGGCGTCTTGGGGTCCTGGTCCGCTGTGCTCCAGCGTCTCCCTCTCATGTGCCCGTTTTCAGCTCCCTGGATAAAGACCAGATCAAGGTGGTGATCGACGAGGTGACGCGGTGGCTGGACCCGGCCGAGGAAGGCGACTCGATAACGCTGCCTGGGATTGCTGGTAGGCGAGAGGCCGCCGGGCCAGGTCCCAGGAGAAGGGGGAACCCCCGCCCCGGCCCCCGCCTCCTGTGGGTCTCACTCCCAAATGCCTCCCGGCTGAGCCTGCGCTTGGACGGTGCGCAGTCCTTGTGCTCCATCCTGAATTCCGAGCGGACGGCTCTGCAGGCCCAGGGAGTCGGGCTCCGTTCCTCCCCGTCCTTCTCATGGCTTTCCCGAGAGCTCCGTGTCCTGTTCTTAACGACAGTTGCTCCTCTGGGTTTCTCCCGCACGGTGCAGCGTGGAGCCCTAGCTCGGCAGCTCTCGGAGCCTGGTCTGGGGCCCCCGGGGTCTCTGAGACCCTGGCCATCCTTGCCCAAGGGTCTGCGGGGCTCACAGCCACTTTCAGGGTACCCCGCAGCTGTCGCTTGCCGTTGTCATGTCATTTCCCGCCCTGGGGCTGCAGCGGTGGTGGGAGAGCAGCCGGCGCGTGGCACACGTGGCAGGAGCCTCGCACTGTGCAGGTAGACGCCGTGCTGTTCGCAGGGGCTCTGGCTGAGAACAAGCGCTGTCCCCGAACCCTCTGGATGATGATGGACACGTGCTGTTCTCGCCGTAACCTTGGTTGCTCACCTTCTGAGCGTCGCTGTGTCTGCTACCCGTCGCCACGCGCATTAGAGCTCGGTGGTTGTGCCGAGGGACAACACGCGGGCATCCGAGACGAGAGCCGAGTTAGCTGCTTTTTTTCTTTTTTATGGAATATCCTTTACTGGAAAGCACTGACCATGGTTATTTAGGTGTGTTTTGACAGGCAGAGTTAGAGACCGAGAGAAAGGTCTTCCTTCTGTTGGTTCACCCCCCAAATGGCCTCAACGGCCAGTGCTGCGCCGATCCAAAGCCAGGAGCCAGGTGCTTCTTCCTGGTCTCCCATGAGGGTGCAGGGGTACAAGCACTTGGGCCATCCTCCACTGCCCTCCCAGGCCACAGCAGAGAGCGGGACTGGAAGAGGAACAACCGGGACAGAATCCGGTGCCCCGACCGGGACTAGAACCCAGGGTGCCGGCACCGCAGGTGGAGGATTAGCCTAGTGAGCCGCGGCGCCAGCCTGGTGTTTTTCGTTTGTGAAAATGATCACATAAAGAGTTGTTTCAAGGAAAAAAACTTACAGTGCTTGCTAATGGTGAAATTCAAGTTTTCCATCAAAAACTGAAATTTTGAAGAATTTGCATCTGTCCCCACGAGCCGGACAGGTTCCCAACACGAGACCTTTCTGGTGAGATCAGTGGCTGTATTTATACTGGCTTTTATTGGTATTGTATAGTGATACAAGGGCAAGTCAGTTTGTGCAAAATTGAATTAACAGGAATTTCACGAGGAGCCGGTGTTGTGCGGTGGGTTAAGCCACCTGCGATGCCAGCTTCCCCGTGAGCACCGGTTCCTGTCCCGGCTGCCCCCCTGCAAACCAGCTCCCTGCTGACGGGCTGTCCTCTGCTTTTCCCAGGCCGAGTGCGTGGAGCCCTGTACCCACATGGGAGACACCTAGACAGTTCCTGGCTCCTGGCTTTGGGTTGGCCCACAGCTGCTGGTTGGTGGCCATCTGAGGAGTGAACCAGCAGATAGGAGCTCTGTATCTTTTTCTTTGTAACTCTGTCTTTCAAGTAAGTTTAAGACCTTTTTTTTTTTTTTTTAAAGATTTATTTATTCACTTGAAGGAGTTACACAGAGAAGGAGAGGCAGAGAGAGAGTCTTCCATCAGCTGGTTCACTCTCCAAATGGCCGCAACAGCCTGAGCTGTATCAGTCCGGACCCAGGAGCCTCTTCCGGGTCTCCCACACGGGTGCAGGGGCCCAATCTTCTGCGCTCCCAGGCCACAGCAGAGAGCTGGATTGGAAATGGAGCAGCAGAGTCTCGAACCGGCACCCATATGGGATGTTGGCACTGGAGGCGGCGGCTTTACCTGCCATGCCACAGCACTGACCCCCATAAACATCATTTTTGTTCATGTATAATGAGGTTTTTGTTACTTTGAGAATAATTTGTTTCTTTTAACACGGCTGACACCAATAGCTGTAACCCATAGGAACAACTTTTCGGCAGCCCTGTGATCAGAGCGTTGGCGTGTGCTCCCCAGAGCGCACGGCCGTGCGCCCCGACCAGCTGCCGGTCCACTCTGCGTGCCCTGGCTCGTCTCCCTCTCGGCTTCTGCTGGGAGTGTGGCCATTTCCAGGTGTGCTCGTGTCTCCCTGCCGTAGGGTTCCAGGCCTTCGAAGTCCAGCTGGTGCTGAGGCAGGCCCTCCCCAACATCTGGACAGCGCAGAGAGAGCAGGGGGTGCGTGCTTGCCCGGTCCCGCGTCTGTCTCCTTCGGCCGAGTCTGGCCTCGGGAAGTGGCTCTCATGTGCTCTGGGGGTGGGGAGCTGCGTCTGGGGCTCACTGGTGGGAACCCCGGGTTGAGGGAGTGCGTCGCGGCCTCGTGGCAGGTGGTCGTGAAGAAGGTGAGCAGGCAGCATCGCTGGTACCTGGAGCACACGTCCTGTGACCGGGCGAGCTGCTGGAAGGAGAAGATTCTGCTCTCGGCCAGGGGTTTCTCCGTCTTCTTCCAGATGCTGGTGAGAGCCCAGAAGGTAGGCGAGGCCCCGGATCTTTCCCAATTCCTGCCGTAGATACCGAGGGATCCTTCGAACGAAGACGGCTTCCTCCCGAGAAGTGAGCCGCCCTCGTTGTTGGCTGGCTTCCTGGCGGTGGGCTTGCTTTCGCCAGCCCATGCCGGGAGAAGCTGCAAAGGGCTAGGCTTGCCGAACGCTGCCGCTCCCTGGCCTTGCAGAGGAAGCCGGGGGCCTCCACGCTTCAGCTTCCAGCGCTTCCAACTCATGCACCCTCCCCCCTTTTTCTTTTTTTTGGCCCTGAAGCAGTTGAGCGCTGCCTTTCTTGGTCAGAATGAGGGTCGGTTGCACTTGCCAGGTGCCCAGAACTGCAGCAGTTTCTAAGGCTGTATCCTTTGTAAAAAAACAAACCCTGCTTCACCCCGGGTGTCTGGCTCTGCTTCTAAAATTCTGTTTCTCTCCCCTGGCGATTGGCTCCAAGTAGCCCTTGGTGGGGCATAACATGATGATGGACCTGCTGCACCTGCACGAGAAGTTCTTCAGGCCCCTCCCAGGTAGGGGCGCACCTGCCACCGCACCCTCCCGTCCCGCTGTGCTGCCCGGCAAGCGCGCTGGGCCGGAGTCGGACCACCGAGGAAGCCCCTGTAACGCCAGTTCTTCCCTGCGCCCAGCAGTGGAGGGCACCCAGCGGGGCGATTGGAAACCCCTGGGCCGCAGGACTCACAGCGGCGACAGTGGCTGGATGTGAGGGCGGGATCCCCAGCGGCGGGGGCTCGGGCCGTCTGCTGGTCTTGTCCCCTGCTCATCCGCTTTGACAGTCGGTGCTGGCAGCCAAGCTGGGTTAGAGAACGGCCCCTTCCCGGCTCTCCCCGCAAGCGGACTCCCCGCGACTGTCCGCGTCTCTCCCTGCAGAAAGCTACGATCAGTTTAAGCAGAATATCCACAGCCTGTTTCCTGTTCTCATCGACACCAAGAATGTGACGAAGGACATCTGGAAGGTAACGGCCGCATCGTCTGTCCCGGCGGCCCCAGGCTTGCTTACGTCGTGTTGGAAATCGGTCCCTGACCCCTTTTGTATTTTTACTTAATTTAAGAGACGTAGCTCTTTGAAAGGCAGAGTGATAGAGGGGGAGAGATCCCCCATGTGCCGGCTCACTCCCCACGTGGCCACAGCAGCCAGGGCTGGGGCAGGCCGAAGCCAGGAGCCCAGCGCTCCATCCGGCTCTCCGGTGTGGGTGGCAGGAAGCTTTTCTGTCTTAAAGCCCCTTCGGTTTCCTGTTGTGTTGGCACGTCCGGGTCGGCGTGTTCGCTTCTGTGTGGTGGTTTCCCTTCCCTCTAGGTGCCCGCGTTTTGATTGACGGGTACATAGTTTTTGTGCTTGCTTAAGTGGGACCGTGGGATGGCTCCTGTTGGGGCCTGTACAATTCATAGCGCACACACCTTGTACACACCCGCAGCCTGCTGCGGGAGCACCAGGGTAGGGGCCCCACGTGGCGTGTGCTGAGCCCAGGGGGCCTGGGTTCACCCTGACACCCTCGCTCCTCGACAAGTCTCAGCCTGGTTTGGAAGCTGTCCGGTGACCATTATGAAGTTGGGGTTATGCGCTGCCTGTGGGGAGCAGGGGACCCAGTTGCTTAAAAATTGAACAGGGAGGGGAGTCGGCTTGAGCCTTGAAAGCCTTGGGGCGACCACTCGAGGAGCAGTCACAGAAACGGGGTCGGGTTCCTTGGTCCGCTGCACACAGATGCTGTCGTCCATCTCGTGCGTTTCTAGCTGTAACAAGCTCTTGGCCCTGAGGGTCCTGGCCTTGTCCCGAGGCCCTCAGAATGCCTGGCGCTCTGCCCACTCGCCCCTGGCCTTGGCCTGGTGCCCTGCATGGCTGGCTGTAGAATCCCGTAAGCACGTCTCTCGATAGCGGGGGTGGCGTGCACTTCGTGGGCAGTGGTTTGTGGCCCGTGTTGGAGCTGTCCTAGGATACCCACGGCTCCCGGGAGCCCTGCCGTGGAACGAGCAGTGAAGACAGGTGTACATGGGAGGGGGAGGAGGCGGCATTCCCAAGGCCACGTGAGTGTCCACTCGGCGACACCCGGAGCAGGTAACCGAAGTGCACGTCTTCCTCGCCCTGATCTGTCGTCTGTAATTGCAGGAACTGAATTTCCCGAGGGTCTCAAATCTTTCCGAAGTGTACGAGGTCTTGAACAGGTGAGGAGGGTGCCTGGTGACATGGTCTGCAGCCTCAGCCCTCGGGTTCTTCTAGAAGGTTCTTCGCCCGTGGGCCCACCCCCCACAACCTGGTGCTTTCTAGTCTTGGGTGCACGTGGCCCTTTCGACCCCCGATTCTTAGAAGGAAGTGAGACCAGAGGCGGAAACCTCACCACCACTGCCCAGGTGCCCCAGCGCTCTGGTAGTCACCGGGGCCTTTCTGGAGGTTCTCACATGCGTGAGGCCAGGCAGGAAGGGCCCAGCTCCCCGCACTCCCCTGCTCCCCGCCCCGGCCCTGGGGGAGCCAGCATGGCCACTCCTGGCTTTTCCCGGGGCGTCAGCATTGGCTGCCCTGCCTTGAGCAGCCCGTTTCCAGCACTGTCCTGGCGACCTCTGGCTCCTCTTCTCTGTGTCGTCCCCTCGGTGGTCTTGGAGGGTCGCCCTGCACACACCTGTCTGGTCTTGGTGGGCGGGAAGATGCAGGTGAGGCACTGGGGATAGATGTGGCCCTGGGTGTCGCTCACCATGAGCGTGGCCTTGAGACCCGGGGCTGCCTTTCTTTTTTTTTAAGATTTATTTATTTGAAAGGCAGAGTTACAGAGAGGCAGAGAGAGAGGGAGAGAGGTCTTTTATCTGCTGTTTCACTTCCCAAATGGCCGCAACAGCCAGGGCTGGGCTGATCAGAAGCCAGGAGCTTCCTCTTCTCCCACGTGGGTGCAGGAGCCCAAGCACTCGGGCCGTCTTCTGCTTTCCCAGGTGCATTAGAGGGAGCTGGATTGGAAGTGGAGCAGCTGGGACTTGAACCAGTGCCTGTGTGGGATGCAGGCAGCTTGACCCACTGTACCACAAAACCAGCCCCTGATTTTTTTACTTATTTGAAAGAGCAACAGGTGTAATCAGACCAAGAGAACTCCTCCGTCCACTCCGCAGACATCCACAACCAGCTGAGGGCTGGGCCAGACTGAAGCTAGAAGCCAGGAACTCGGTCTGGGTGTCCCGTGTGAGTGGCAGGTACCCAGCAACCTGAGCCATCAAGTGCTGGGTGCGCATCCCCAGGAAGCCGCGTTGTAAGCGGAGCAGGGACGCGAACCAGGCACTTGAATACGGGGTGTGGGCATCCCAGGTGGACCTCACCTGCTGGGCCGATGCCTGTGCCAGCTTCCTGGGTTGAAATACCAGCTGTGCCACTCCCTAGTCTTCTAAGAAACCTCGGGAATTCTCAGCCTCTCGGTGCCTCACTTCTACCATCTGAAATGAAAAGTAACAAACAGCATGGAACCCACGAGGTTGTCGGGCGGATCCGTCGAGTCCGCCCCCGGGAGCACTCGGCACCTGCGCTTGGTCCGCGTTGTTGGAGTCTCGGCTGCCCTGGGTGTGGCTGGCCCTGTTCCTGATGCTCACTTTAGGGCATGGGCCCAGGGGCCACGCCCATCTTACAGGTGGGGAAACCGAGGTTCAGGGCAGCTAAGCACAGATTACTGTTGGAAAACAAATCGGGTGAGCATCTCCTCAGTGACTGGGCCGTCGCCATTCACCCCACCCCACCCCCACGCCCCCCAGAGCCGAGACCCAGCCGTGGTCCTGAGGTGGAGTCGCCGCCGCCGTCTCGGGTTGGCCGGGTCCTGTTGCTGTTATTCCGTGATGCGCTCGGGGTCTCTGGCGCGCGCTGCAGGCCTTTCCTGCCAACTTCCCCTGTGGCCACCAGAGTGACCGGGTCCTTCTGGTCACTCCCACGTGTTGTGCGGGCCGCTCCCCTCTGGGCTGCGCCCGTCACGGGGCTCGGCCACTTTCCACTGGCCCTGCTCTCCACTGGCCCTGCTCTCCACTGGCCCTGCTCTCCACTGGCCCGTCTTGCTTCCCCGTGGGCTGCGTTGGTGCCCAGGCTGAGTCTCTTGTGTCCTTGGGGAAGCCTGTCTGGCGGCTTTGGCCCCGGGGGTGTGGGGGACACGCGTGATCACCTGTGGTCGTCACGCGCCGGAGGGCAGGGACGGCGTCGCGTGCACCCTGGTGCCGGGCTCTGGCCGCTGCCCTGAGAAACACCAGGGTAACGTAGCCGGAGCCTCCTGCACCTGTCTCTCGTCTGCTGCCAGGCTCCGAGCCCTGGTGCGTGCGTGCGGGGACCGAGGGCGGACTGAGGGGACTACTGTTAACGAGTTACTCTCCATCCCGTTTTCCTTCTCTAACAGTAACTTGAATCCCACCAAGAATTCCGGACCAGAGATCATTCACGCGAACAAGTGTGAAAAATACGGTGTGTGCCCGGAGGCCGCGCTCAGCCGGAGGCGGGCGGAGCTCGGTCTGGGCCCTTCCTTGCCGCTGGGCCCCTTGGTGGTGCCGGAGGCTGCCAGGCCTGGGCTCCCTTCTTGCGAACCCCACCGTGGGAGCGGATGGCCCGGCCCCTCCCTCATGGCGGAGCTCCGGTCTTGCCTTCTGTGCCCCGGCTGGGGGTGGATCGCGGGTGGGGGGAGGGCCCACGCGGTGGGCTGTTGGATGCTGAAGTGGCAGGGGGAGGAGGGTCTGCCTTCCACACGCGGGTGCTAACGGGGCCCCGGGTTCCCTCCTGCCCCGGGTTCCCTCCTGCTTCGGAAACACGCTCCAGTGGACACCAAGTGCCCCCACGAGGCCGCATACGACGCCTTCCTCTGTGGGTCAGGTAGGAGCCTCGCTCTTCTCTGGGGACAAACCCACCCATTTGGGTGCGACCTCGACCTCGAGGCCCTGAGGCCTGTTGAGTTTCTGGCTTCTTTCTTTTTTTTCTCCAGTTCTTTTGAAAGTGGCGCACCTGCTCCTGCAGAGGGCGCACAGGTGAGTGGTCTGTGGCAGTGGGCGGGGTTTAGGGAGCCCCGGCCCTCTGCGGCCCCACCTCTGCCTGGGAGGGTACCGCTCCCTGTGCCCCTGGGTTGGTCCCAGGGCAGCGAGCAGGTTGGGAGACCCAGGCGCTGGGTCCTCACCGCAGCACTTCCCAGCTGGGTGCTGGCTTCATCCGTGTTGTCCCAGCCACGCTCGTCCCAGTGAGCTCGACAGGTTGGGATTCGCGGGGTCGGGCTGGGCGGAAGGATGGGGACTTGGAACAGAGCGCCCTGAGCAGGGGTTCAGGACCCCCCAGGTTGGCATCTAGAATGCATTTCTTCCTTGTTGCCTGCCGCCCCCGGCACGGGGGCACTGAGTGCACAGGTGACGTGTGTGTGTGTGTGTGTGTCCTGGAGCACCATCCTGGGGGTGGGCGTCGGTCACGTGGGACTTGGCAGGTTGGGCAGGCGTGGTCTTGGGGACCAGCCTGGAGGTGCTCCGACCTGGAGTCCGGTGATGGGTGCCACCTGTGTGCGTCCGGTGTAGTGAGAATTGCACGTGTGCGTGCTCTGTGACACCTCGCTGTGTCGTCTAAGAAATCCGCCCACTGGCCTCCATCGTGCCTGCGTTGGGCGGTGCGGCAGCTCAGTGCCAGGGCCTCCGGCTCCATGTGCAGTTTCTCTTCATCACGGGCGCCCTGTCCCCCAGCTGTGCTGGCTCGGGGCCTGCATTCCTTTTGAGTGGTCCCAGGACTGAGGTGGGGCTGGTGGAACAAGGCCATGTGGAATCCAGGAGGTGGCGCCGAGCCGCCCTGGGCTCCCCCCGGCCCTGAGTCTGTCGCTGTGGCTGCTGGCAGAGGGTCATGGGCAGGCAGTGGCTGTCACAGGCAACCTCTGTTCTTGCCGGGGCCATGGGGGAGGCCACCCACACGGTTCCTGGGGCTCCGGGTGGGGGGCTGTCGGGGGCGCGTGCTCCCTGTGCTGTCACAGATGCGGGGCTGTGCCTCCAACGTGGGAGGAACCTCGTGGGCCTGACTGCTCTGGACTTTCTCGTCCGTGTAGCAACAGCCCTGCTACCGAGCCCTCGTTCCCTCAGTACCTCGACATGCTGGCCCCCTACGTGAACCAAGTGAATCTCATCCGCGCTGGGGTCCCCAAAGTTGTAAGTGACTGCGCTTTGCTCCGTTCCTCCCCGGGAGGCGCTCTGGGCCATGGGCGGGGTCCTAGTGGCAGCCCGGGGAAGGGCTGAGGGTGCGCACACTCACTTCCTCCTGTTTCTGCTGCGATCATTGCAGACTTCTTCCTTGTCTGCGCTCTCCCAGCCCCTAACAGAGCCCTTCAAGGCCTCCTTTGTTTGCCTTCGAAATCTTTTAAAAAGTGAAGTGTCAGATCTTCTACCTGCTGGTTCACTCCCCCAATGGCTGCAGCAGCTGGGGGCAGGCCAAAGCCAGGAGCTGCAGCTGGGTTTCCCGCACGGGTGGCAGGCACCCCAGTACCCCACGGGTGGCAGGCACCCCACACTCATCACCAGCAGGAAGCTGGATTGGAAATAGAGTAGCCGGGACTGGAACTGGCGCCCCAACGTGGGATGCTGCCATCCCAAGCAGCTGCCTCGCCTGCTGTGCCTGCTGCCCACCCCCAGGTTTCTTCTGGAATTCTTGGACGGGACAAGAGGTCCGTGAGAACTGTGGAAAGCTGTTTCTCTCTTCCCGTTCCTAGAACTTCTCTGGCCCGGACTACCCCAGTTTCCGGCCCCCCGTGCTCATCCTCAGCGTTGCGCGGTGGCCCGGGGTCAGCGAGCAGCAGGTCTATCGTGAGTTCCAGAACCTCTGCAAGTTCGACGTCCGGCGACTCACGCGAAGCCAGTTCTTGCTCCTGACCAATAAGTTTAAGGAGTAGGTGCCTGGGCCCCAAGTCTGCGCTCCGCCCCCCGCGGCCGGGCCGGGCCCCCGCTGTGCCAGCTGATGTCCCCCCCCCCCTCTCGGCAGCGCCCGGAACGTCCTCAAGGAATACAGGGGCCACCCGAGCCTGCAGGTCTCCCTCTACCGCTACTGGAGGCACGCCCCCGACGTCAAGTGCCTGCTGCAGTGAGTGAGCGGGCTGCAGGCTGGCCGCCGGGTGGCCTGGGGCACGGGTGACTGGGAGGGGAGGGCCACCTGCTCGGCCACACCCCCCAGGGCCTACCCACCACCTGCTCTGCTGCTGGCCACTGCCGTGGGCCCTGGGTTTGGTGAGCGATGCAAACAGAACGCGGGCTGTCTCAGTACTCGCGTGCTTGTGGGAGGTGACGCACGGGACAAGCGGGTGAACTCCGCCGTGCTCTGGGAGACAGGTGTCCGTTAAAAGGGGAGGGGGCTGGGGGTCACACCTCAAAGGAGGCCGGGGGGAGACCCAAGTGCCGTGAGGAAGGGAGCAGAGCAGGGAGTGACCCGGCGGTGGCGTCCAGGCAGCAGGGGGCCCTGTGTGTGGAGGGGACAGGAGAGGAGCCGGCCCCACCCTGGCTGCGGGGTGGGGGAGGGAGCAGCGGGCTTCACTCGGGAGAAGTTGGTCACCGCTGGGGTCTCGGCAGAGGAGGCCTCCGTCGGACTCGGGTTTTCAAAGCCCCGCTCTGCCGTGGGCAGAGATGGACGGTGGAGGAGGCGGGTGGGTCAGCCTGGCCGTGGTGTGGCCGTGACAGGGTCCAGTGTCGTGGCTGTGGCGGTGGGGTGGGAGGAAGGGCCGGTGACATGCAGGAAGGAATAAGTGGGCATCGCAGGTCTAGGGGCTGAGCAGCTAGGACGGAGCTGCCATTTGGGAGGAGCTGAGAATGTCCCTGGAGACGGCCTTGCCCCTGGAGGGTGGGGGGTGTCCGCCCCCCCCCCCCCAAGCCCCTGGTTAGAACTGCCAGCACACCAGGGTCGGCCCCGGGGACAATAGGCAGAAGGAAGAACATTGGGCGGACTGAGTCTGGAGGAGGGACCGGCCTGTTCGGGCAGCCCTCGCACCTGCCCAGCTCACAGGCCGATGTTGGCCTTGTCTTGCAGGGTCTGTGGCATCGTCACCACCTGGGCCCTGCTGGCATTCTTCCTGGGAAGACCCAGCCCCTGAGGGCCGCCTGTGGCCACCGTCCCGTCTCCGAGCCCCTCGGGCAGGCCCTCCTGCGCTCCGTTTGCGGCTGGGCCTGTGTGGTCCTCCCTGGAGATCCCGTTACTTTTTTGAATGTGGAATTCTGTGACTACTATCAATGATAAAGAAATCCTTGGATGCAGTTCCTGTCTCTGTGGCTAAAGCTTTCCTTCTCCATGAGTGGGGAGAAACCGCCACCTCCGGGGTTAAGCTGGTGCCCAGGTAGCGGAGGTGGGAGCTGTAGTAACGAGGGGACCGAAGCCTGCACTGCTCCGTGGCCCCAGGGCTGGGGCGATGTGGCCTGGAAAAGGGCCCGAGTGCGGTCAGACTCTGAAGCCTGGCAGAGTTGGTGTCACGAACGCGGGCGACACCTTGATGAGTATCACAAACAAGGCGTCAATCTCACTTTAGAAACAAACGCCCAGGCCAGCGTTGTGGCACGGCAGGTCAAGCCACCACTTGCCGGGCTGGCATCCCGCTTCGCTGTGCTGGTTCGAGTCCCATCTCCTCCACTTCTGATCCAGCTCCCCAGTAAGAGGAAGGTGGCCCAAGCGCTTGAGCCCCTGCCACCCCCACGGGAGACCCTGGGTGCAGTTCCGTGTGCGTGGCTTCGCCTGGCCCTGGTCTGGCTGTTGCAGCCATTTGGGGAGTAAATCAACGTTGGGAGGGGCCTGGTGTTGTGGCGTAGCAGGTTAAGCTTCTGCCTGCCATGCTGGCATCCCAGATGGGCACCAATTCAAGTCCCGGCTGCTCCACTTCTGATCCGCCTCCCTGCTAATGCACCTGGGAGAGCAGCGAAAGACGGCCCAAGTACAGGTACGAGCCCCCACCACACGTGGGGGAGACCTGGATGAAACTCCCGGCTCTTGGTTTCAGCCTGGGGAGTGAGTAGCAGATGGAAGATCTTGATCTCTCCTCCTCTGACTGTCAAAAAAAAAAAAAAATTGAAAGGCAGAGTTAGAGAAAGGTCTTCCTTTTCCGTTGGTTCACCCCCAAAATGGCTGCTCACGCTGGCCCAAAGCCAGGAGCCAGGTGCTTCTCCTGGTCTCCCATGGGGTGCAGGGCCCAAGCACTTGGGCCATCCTCCACTGCACTCCCGGGCCACCGCAGAGAGCTGGCCTGGAAGAGGAGCAACTGGGACAGAATCCGGCGCCCCGACCGGGACTAGAACCCGGTGTGCCAGCACCGCAGGCGGAGGATTAGCCTAGTGAGCCACGGTGCCGGCCATGCCTTTTCAAATCTTTTAAAAAATACTTGGCATCTGGAAGATTTTCTCATGCTTTACCTTTCAAATCTTTAAAGTTAACTTGTCAGACCTTAAAGCGAACGCCAGCCTGTGCCTGGAGCCTCGGGGTGCCGTGGGGTGATCTGGTTCCCCGTGGTGTGTCCCACACTTGGCAGCTCCCTGTAGCTGTTCTTGGAGCTGCTGGTTCTAAGGCAGCTGGGTGCTTGGCTCAGCCTTGAACCTCACCTGGGGGTTCTGCAGAGAACACATGTGGTGGCGACAGCTGTGCAGGTGGAGAGAGAGGGGAGGAGCTGTTTTCCTGGAAGTCTGTGACAGCCCCCTTGCCCAGGGTCCAGTGGGCCAGGCCGTGCTCTTGGGTGGTGGTGGGGGGCGGCTTTGCCCGTCTGCTCAAACCCTCCGGGGTTTCAGTGGCTGTGACTCCAAGCTGGGAACTCGCCCCTCTGTTGGTGAACTTGGGGCCTGGCTGTGTTAGGTGGGCCCTTGCCTGCTGGCTGCTGAGCGAGTGTGTCGCCTGGCGCTGCCGGCTGGAGCCCTCTGCGGTGGTCCTGTGCTGTGCCTGCCGCCCCCTGCAGGGGAGGCTGGAGGCGGAGGGAGCTGCTGTACCCTCGGAGGTGACCACGAGCTGGGTTTTGTGGACGTCGCCCGCCTTGCTGTCGGCAACCTGGGCGAGCACCCAGAGATGACCGGTGGTCTGCGGGGGGGCTGTCTTCCTCTCCAGCAGCCCCAACCCCTCTGGGAGGAGGCGCTGGGTGTGCAGCAGGTGCAGGGTCTGGCCGTCGTCCTGCTCCTTCCTCCGTGGCCTCTGGCTCTGTGGGGTTTTTTCTTTTTTAATGCAGCATCATGCCCACCGCTAAGTGAATTAAACCGAGTTAGTGGCAGAAGCCACTCGCTCGCGCCTTCTTCCGCAGCTCCGTCCGCTTCTGCCTGTGGCTCAAGCGGCTCTCCCTCCTCGGCTGCGTGGCCGAGCTGGCGGGTCTGGTCTGCCCTGCTATCTGTCCCCCACGGCCCCTGCGCCACCCTCCGCCAGACTGCATGCCACCTGCTCCCCCGCTCCCCGCCACCACGGCTCCACCTTGGGCTGGGCTCTGCGCTCCCGCTGGTGACTCCCCTGTCCCACTTCCGCTGCTGAGCCGTTCTGGGTTGTCCACTGATGCATGGCAGAGTGCACGGTCTTCTCCAGGTCCCCCTGCCAGTGGAGGCGGTGAGCGTCTCAGGCCTCCGGCTGCTGCTGACCACATCCAGCCTGCCCTGTTCGTCCAGGGCGCTGCCCTGACACCTGCGGGGCTGGAAGGCAGATCTCTCTCCTGCCTGCAGTCTTCCTGTGGGGTTCGCACCAGACCCCCAAGCCCTTGACCTTGGAGATGGGCGGCCTGACCTCTCTGTCCCCTGCAGGCCGTCTGTCCGTGGGATCGCAGTCTCTCTCTCCCCTGTACCTGACTTGCTCCACACATCCCAAATGCTGAGTTGACGGCTCCTCCAGGTTCAGGGTCTTTAATGCCCCCTGGGTCTGTCGGGCTCATCCCGCCCTGGCTGGGTCACCTGGTGCCTGCGTGGCTGACACCTGCCTGGCCCTGCACAGGTGTCTCGCGGGTCTCGCTCTGCGGAGCCTGGTGGCTTTCCCAGCATCCTCTGCAGCCAGCGCTGACGCCTCTGGGCTGTGGTTTCAAGGAAGGGTTCCAGCTCCTCAGGGCTGCTCAGTGAGCCTTTTTGAAAATGGTGTCATTTTGCATAACAAGGTTCTGCCTCTGCAGGAGAGGGTGGGGACCAGGCCCGGGTGTTCTTGCAGGCCCTGGGGTCCTGGTTGTGTGGCAGTGATGCGGCTCCGTGCCTGTCCCTCGCTTCTCGAATCTCGTCCCTTCATGGTTTAAGCTGCTTACGTGAGATGCCTAGTGTGAGAATGAGCGTGGCCAACTCGGCCATCGTCACATTGGAGTTTCTCTTTCCACCCTCTAAGTCCCACCTTAGGGCCGCCCTAACTAAAACGCCACAGCCTGAGCGGCTTCGATTCCCGCAGTCCTGGAGAACACGGTGCGGTGCCTCGGCGCTCAGCGAGCGCCACCCTCCTGGCTCGCAGGCAGCCGCCTTCTTGCCGCGTCCTTACCTGGCAGAGAGAGGGACCACCTGCCTCCCCCTGCCTTTGGGGGCGATGCTCTCACTGATGAGCTGCACCCTCATGGCCTGGTAGCCTCTGGGTGCTGTCCCACTGGGGGGTTAGGGTGCCAGCAGAGGAGCCTGGGGGGACACAGACACTCCGTGCACAGCGAGTACCTTCCCCTCCCACCGAGGGACACAGAAGTGCACGCTGTGGGTTGTTACTTGGTGACACACTGGCTGAGACGGCAGCGGGGACTTTGCCTCGGCGAAACGTGGCAGAGGTGGTGAGCCTTGGGATCCTCTCTGCCTGTGGGGGAGGGGAGCAGGGCTCTGCCTGCCCAGCATCCTTGGTGTCTGCCGATTCAGTGCAATCCCAACAAAGACCTCAAGGGTGCGCTGTGTAGTGTGAGGTGGTGGTGACTCGCCCCAGTAAACGCAGCACCTAGGGAAACAGAGGTAACAGGAAATGGGACAGAGGAGCCCAGGTGATGGCCCCGCCGGCTGACCCTCTCCCACTGTCACCTCCCGTCAGGGGTGTTGGAAGTGGGGCCTCTTGCAGTTGCAGGGTTGATGAGGACGGCATCACGGCCTGCTCTTGCACTGTGTGGCGCTACAGCGAAATCCCTGAGGCCAGCCGCTGGTGAGGGAGGCGGCTTCCCCTGGCTCCGGGCCTCAGACTTGCCGTCTGAGGGTGGGGGGCCCTCGGTCCAGCCCCTGATGCTGCTGTTCCTGCTGGTGGCTCAGGGCACCCAGAGCAGGAGGCGGGAGCACAGGCTGGGGAGAGATCGGGCCAGGAGGGAGGCTGGCCGCCCTTGGGCTTCCATGACAGCCCACTCCGGTGACCCAGGGCCTCCCGTCAGGCCACCTGGACGCCACCATCGGGTCAGGCTCCGCCCTCTCAGGACCGTGATGAAGGGCTTTGGGGATTACGCACCTGCAGGAGTTAAGGAGCCACGTCTCGTTCGAAGCGTAGCACAGAGCAGTGGGGTGGGCTGGACACAGGCTGAGCACCGGGGGTGTTGCTAAGGAGCCGTGTCGTGTTAAAACGGGGCCAGATGGGCCGCGCTGTGGCCACGTGGGCTGAGCCTCTGCCTGCAGTGCCGGTTCAGGTCCCAGCTGCTCCTCTTCTGATCCAACTCGCTGCTTGTGACCTGGGAAAGCAGTGGAAGATGGCCCAAGTCCTCGGGCCCCTGCACCCATGTGGGAGACCTGGAAGAAGCTCCTAAATTCAGATTAGCACAGCTCTGGCTGTTGAGGCCATTTGGGGAGTGAACCAGCAGCTGGAAGACCTCTCTCTAACTACCTTTCAAATAAAATAAACAGTAAATCTTTTTAAAAAGCCACTTGGGGAGTGAACCAGCAACTGGGAGACCTTTCTCTCTGTCTCTAACTCTGCCTTTCAAATAAATCTTAAAGTTGGGGCAGAGCTGCTTTGGAAGGCTTTAATGAGTTTGCTATTTAAAGTAAATTCGAGGCCGGCGCCGCAGCTCACTAGGCTAATCCTCCGCCTTGCGGCGCCGGCACCCCGGCTTCTAGTCCCAGTCGGGGCGCCGGATTCTGTCCCGGTTGCTCCTCTTCCAGGCCAGGTCTCTGCTGTGGCCCGGGAGTGCAGTGGAGGATGGCCCAAGTGCTTGGGCCCTGCACCCCATGGGAGACCGGGAGAAGCACCTGGCTCCTGCCTTCAGATCAGCACGCCGGCCGTGGCGGCCACTGGAGGGTGAACCAACAGCAAAAGGAAGACCTTTGTCTGTCTGTCTCTCACTGTCCACTCTGCCTGTAAAAAATAAAGTCAATTTGGCTGC